GTCTGCCAAGCTGAAGGTGATCCTGAACCTGTCTCCGGAGCGGACGGTGCCGCACCTGCTGGCCGATCTGGTGCTGCAGGACACCAGCGTGCAGCTGTCCCGTCAGCAGTACCTGAGCCTGGTGCACGCGGCAGACAGCTTCAGTCGCATGAAGGTCAACAGGTCAGTGACGGGACGGCCGCGAGATGACGGGGAACCTTAGCCCGTAATAATATTGGTTAGCTTGAATGCGATGACATGTTATTTATTAGATTATGGGGGGGGGGGGGGGTCGGCATTTCTTCGAGTGAGTGATAATACGATGGTGTGAAGATAACGTTTTTTAACGTACCGAAAGAGTGAAAAATACCGTTTCCACTCACATCCTCTGGCTATAGGTACTGGATATCAATAAATATGTGCTAGGATTTGCAATGAGCTTGTCTGCATCATTCGGACTCAGTTCAAGGAGTAGAAACGCACTGAATCGCTCACTTTTTATTCTATTCTTTATCTCTTTTCAGTCAATATCGCAAATACCGGCCCACTGTGGAGCCTCACGGCAATGCTGCGAAATGGTGGAAATACGCATATACGTGTATCGTGGAGAAGACCATTCGTCCGTACTCCTGGGAACGGATCAAGGAGCACAGGTAATGTCCCGTTTATCACAGGCGACGTCGCATTAAGCAGACAGGTGACACCAAACTTTACGAGCTGGATATCTAATCACAATGTATCGCCGTTAAAACTTGTCAAGTACATTGGCAAAGCATTGATCCAGCTCGTCACATCGACCACAAACGCATGTAAAGCACGTATTACAGGGCAGTAACATTTCATGTCACGTATGCATTTAGTGGGAAACGGACGTCGCCATGCCGGGCAACGGATATCATGCGAATGATTTACGCGTTCTGGGAATGTATATCCGACGGAACTCAGCGCATCAAATATGAAAACGTTGGACGAAAATTCTCTCTGAAACTCAACTCTAGCAACGTCATTCATCATTTCCCTTACTCTCCAAAAATAACTGCCAGTCTTTGTGGTTCATGTCGAGCTTTTGACGTCGTGTACCGGTGTACTTCAGGCGCCGGTACCGCGAGTACCGAGCCGAGTACCTGACGTTCCTGGAGGACCCCGACCAGAAGGTGGAGCTGCTGGACAAGTTGAAGGAGATGGAGGACGGCCTGGACGCCACTGGAATCCTGCTGGCCAGGGAGGAGGCCAAAATTGAGGTGATAGCTTGTGAGACGGTTACGGGATTATAGGACAGAGGTTCTGTTCAGTGGCTACTATTTGTAGGTCCCTTTGTACTTACACAAGACGAAAATGAAATATTGGTTTTATTGTTACCGTAAATCGACCCGCCGTAAGGTAGGCGTTGCTTATTTTAGCGCCATTGTAGCCTTTGCATGGTAAACGTTTTTGTTTCTTTCACTAATACGCCACAGTATTATGTGATCTGTGATAGGTAATTGTACCTGGGCCTTGTACTGTGTTTACACCAGTGTAATTACTCACTGACTATTTGTGGCTACCGTTGACACCTTATCCACTGTCCGCCGAATTGTTGTCAGTGTCTACCTCGAGCGGTAGGCCCGCCCCGCACGAGTGCGTTTTTGATGCGTTGCGGTGCGCTACCGTCCATCCGCTTTCGTCAGGCTTGCGGTGTTCGGTTCGCATCCCGCCGCATTCTCTTCCCACAGAGCCATATCGGGTGTGCCGCACCGCATCGTGATGCGTCGTTCCGTGCCGCAACGCAACTCAATGTACCGTACGAAAAACACCCGTGCGTGGCGGCCCTTATACGGCCTTGGGCGGCTCTTAGTAGCGTGTGCCGCTCCGGTCATGTGCTGAGCGGATGACACGGCAGCAGACGAGGCGTCTCTGCCGGCACCTGTGGCCGATATATCACACCTGCTCCAGTGACGGTGCATGTTTGGTGACGGCAACTGGCGTCTGCCGAGACAACGCCGAGTAGGCACTTTTCATGTATATGTTGTGCTGGTTTTCTGTGGCTACTACAGGGATTTTCTAAGCGACTTTTCCGCACCATACAGCAGGTTTACCACCCAACATCAGTAATTCTCCTTCATAGGCTCTTACCGATGATTCATAGACATCCGTTTATCCTTCAGTCACCTGTCTTGCTAGTTCTCGAGACTCCCTACCTAGCACCTTCAGCACCCCTGACCTCTGACCTCTGACCCCACCTCTACCCCCAGCTGGCGCGGCGAGAGACGGCCGCCGCCGAGACGCCCCCACTGGAGGAGACGGGTACCTGGTGGGGCTGGCTGACGGGCGGTGCCGGCGCTGGAGACACGGACGCGGACGAGCCTCTCGTGCACCCGGCCTCCGTGAGAGGATGGACCGTCTGGAGCCAGCTGACTGACGAGGAGAAACAGCAGCTGTATGAGAGTATCGGCATGGCGGACAGCGGCCAGGAGGAGGATGTCACCGATCTGCCCACAAACTACATCAGTCAGTATATGAGGGAATGACAGGTGGACAGTGTTGAGCAACGAGTTTTTAGATGTCAATATACTGACCTCTGCGATGATTGCATTGATGTGCGTAATGAACCTGATTTATCATACTGGATACGGCATTAACGGAAGATCGGAGAACAGGCCTCTTACCATTATGAAAGATATAGTAATTTAAAATACCGTTATATGGAGCACTATCGAATATATGGTAATTGCTGATAGCGGTTGCCACTGTTCAATGATTGCACCAGCCACCAATTCAGATGCGCGATAAGTGCATGCCAGTCCTGTTGACATATTCCAGTACGAACTTACACAAAACACAACTATGCCTCCCTTCTCTCCCTCAGAGCACAAGCTGAACGTCACTCTGTCGACGCTGTCCGCCTCGCTGCTGGCTCACAGCAGTGAGCTGCTGGTGGCCACTGTGAGCCAACTGGTGAGCAGCGTGGAGACGAGGCCGGCCGCCCGTTCCGTGCGCCTCTCGGCCAGCGCGCACAGCCTCCTGGTGGAGGGCACCAGTCTGGAGAGGGACCTAGTGCCCATCGTGTCACCGGCCGATATACACGGTAAGGGAGCCGAGGGGAGGGAGGGAGGGAGGGAGGGGGAGTGAGGGAAAGAGGGAGGGGAGGGACCAGTCTGGAGAGAGGCCTGGTGCCCGTCGTGTCACCGGCTGATATACACGGTACGGGAGCCGAGGGGAGGGAGGGAGGGAGGGAGGGAGGGCGGAGAGGGCACGAGCCTGGAGAGAGATCTGGTGCCCATCGTGTCACCGGCCGATATTCACGGTACGGAAGAGATGAGGGAGAGTGAGCGAGCAAAACTAGCCTGAAATGAGCCACCTTGTTATTTTCATGGATACGGATACCGGCATACAAGAAATTATAACCGGCAGACGATGTTTCGACATAAATTGTAGCATTCGCTGTGATTTGTTTATGTGCACGTCCCAGGAAACTTGCATTCCTTTCACGTCGTCTGTTAACTGCTCTGGCAACAGCTACACGAACCACCTCGCCCTATCGCAATAGCTGTATACTGTTCCACTCTGACCGTTACGTGCACTGTGTGTTTGTTTATTTCAGAGAGCGACCACCGGCCAGTGTTCTCTCTGGACTTTGAGGTGAACCCTCCGGCGGCCGACTTTGGTCTCTCCGTGTCCGTCTCACCGGTCGAAGTCGTCTACTCCGAGGTACATTTATACGAGAGAATGCTTGAAGACGAACGATGCATGTGCGTGTAAACTAAGTTATTCGCAAAGTGTTGTGATAGTAATTATTCAGTGGATCATAAACCGATCATAAATCAATGTAGTGTTGTGAATGGTATGTTTCCTCAATGCAAGTACGCGATGCTGGAAGGGACGGCCCTCCCGTTGCCGTCGCCTCCGTTTTAACCCACCCCTACCCTATTCCAGCACGCGGTCTCGGAGGTGCTGAGTTTCCTGCAGACGCCGCAGCTGACGCTCAGCGCCGCTGCTCAGCTGGCCCGCGGTCAGCTCAGCCGGCTGACTGAGGCCGGACGGATCGCCCTGCAGGAGGCCATCTCCCGCAGGCGCACCCTGCAGCTCAGCCTGGACCTGGCCAGCCCTTACCTGGTCATACCCGAGACGGGGACTCTGCAGAGGTGAGATCACGGCACGACTAATTCAGCTCGGTCGTATGTCTCCAGTGGGAAGAGGAGTATGAATGTAGGCCTTTTCCACTGTAATATCGCCGTTTGCGTCTGGGATTATGAAATCAAATGACAGTGAGTCATGAGTCTTAAGTTCCCTTTATAGCGACGAAAACTTTGGATCGAGAATGGAATGAGTAGACATAACCTCTGCTAAGGGACCTCCCACTTCCCTGACAGCCCCGAGGGTCTTACTACCTTATTTCTTGGTGGCCACAACAGTGTACGAGTGTTATTTGTAACGGTACCATACGCTTGCGATGGTTTCCAGCGAAGTTCTGCCGGCGGTGGACTTGTCATGTTTCCCTGTCTGTACCCTGGTTCCCTCCTGGTTCAAGCGGCGGTAACCTGCTGGTGGTGGTGGACCTGTCATGGTTTCCCTGTCTGTACCCTGGTTCCCTCCTGGTTCAAGCGGCGGTAACCTGCTGGTGGTGGACCTGTCATGGTTCCCAGCTTAAACCCTGGTCCCCCGATGGTTCCAGCGGCGTTAACCTGCTGGTGCTGGACCTGTCATGGTCCTCTGACATTACCATGATTACCTGTCTGAACCGGCCTGATCCCCTGCCGGTTTCCAGTGGCGGTAACCTGCTGGTGGTGGACATGGTTTCCCTGTCACATGGTTTCCCTGCCGGTTGCAGCGGCGGTAACCTGCTGGTGGTGGACCTGGGCCGGCTGGTGGTCAGCTCCGAGCTGCAGCCCCAGCTGGAAGTGGGAGCTCTGGCCGAGATGACGCGCGCAGAGCTGGAGGAGGCGGTCTACGACCGGTATCGGTTCACACTCACCGACCTGCAGCTGCTCTTCGCCGACTCCGGTACGTTTCACTGACAGTCTCATCGAGGACACTCTGCATGCTGTAGCCTGTAACATGGTATTGCCATAGACTCCGAATAGTGAACGAACACACAAAGCGAAACATAATGCCCAGCAAGCACACATTAGTTAAACTTTGCAGAAATATCATACACCATCACAAAACCCCTCATGTGCGCGTATTTTACAAAAAAAGATCTTGTAGACATGCTTTCCGCCAGGTAAGTATACGTGTCCCGCTTAGTTGGCAGCTGGGTAGCCAAGCCTCAGTTTCTATGAGTACAAAACCGTCCGCTCCATCCTTCAAGACAGCGACAACGAACCTCTCCGAACGCCTTCCGAACGCACGTGCCGCCGTTACGACAGGAGAACATCCTTTTACACGGGTCATCTTCATCGTCAAACTGAGGAGCGCGGACGGGCGCGCCGGCAGGCCCGATCAGCTGACGTTTTCCGCGTGTGTAGGTCGCTCCCGGACCAAGATGGGTCTCCATCAACAGAGCGTAACCGTTCTGAGTGATGATGGCGCGCTTCCGGCGACGGAGAGGACTCCAGAAAGGCTGCGGATGAGGGTTGACCAGCTGACTGAGGGAGCGAATAAAGCCGCTCGGTAGTGAGTGATCCTCAGCGAGGGGAGAATTGTCCAGGTATCGCTTAGGTCTGACGGTGGTGGATGTGTTTTCTTTATCATCCGGTGGTAGACAGAGGCAGGTGCAGCAGGGGCAGAGCGATACCCCCCTTTGCTGCAGCGGCCGTCCGCAGTGAGGACAGGCGCTCATAGTCCGTGTTTGGAGACGGCGGTCGCAATAGGGACATCTGGGTATGTCCAGTGCTCTGATCTGACGCAGGCAGGACGGACACCACTGTGGACTCCGGGCCTGGAGCCTGCTGGAGCAGTAGGGACACTGCTGGTGGTCCTCCCGGGGCAAGGGACACTGGCCAGAGAGGCAGAACTCCTGACACTGGGAGCGGAGTACCGGATGGCGGCAGCAGGCGCTGGACGGCAGGCGCTGGCAGCGGCAGCTGGCCGGCAACTGAAACAGGGCGAGCGAGTGGACGTGTGGGTGGGACAATTCGCCCTAATAGTTGCTAGCGCAATCATAAATGTATGAACACAATTTAAGTCAAAACGCCTCGTTACCACGTTTCGAGCGAATCACTTTATTGCTTCGGTTCCTCGTGACGGCACTATACAGCTTTTAGCGTCTAAGAATCTGGCTAATTGTTGTAAACATGAAATAGGTATAGTCGTTGGGGCTGATTCGAGCCAAGGTATTTGCTGTCAGTGCGTTGACTATCACTTATTGCCGTTCAGGTAAGACATTGTGGATTGATGTTACCTGCTCGATGGCTTCTTGCGGTGTTCCTGGTCCAATATGTAAGCCTTCGTCAATGAATTCGACTGATCTCCTTTGTGCTCCCACACTGAAAACAGCATTTCATATGTCAATTCTGAAGATGTATTTAAACTGCTTTCACTATAGGTATGAGATGCGTCAAGACTGGATATTTAAATTGTTGTTTTGTATTTTGAACACACGCTCGGGATTCCTGGAAGTTATTTCGAGTCATCGAAGTTTCCCTTGCAATGGTCCTTAAAAAGGTTTTATGCCATTTTTTCATGAAAGAAATCTGAAAAGCGTAGTTGACTTACCTCGCATTTACAAGGAGCCACACGGTCCAGATTCTACACATCATGCTGCTGCTGTGAGTTTGTTCGGTTTAAAATGAAATACAGGTTCAATAATGCATAAGACTACGAAAAATCTTTTAAACGTTGAAAACGACTCTCTTGAAATAAGAGCCGGAGTTTTACGACACCGACACCAAACAAATTGCAGCGTTGCAGCTGCTTTTCAGCTGTTTTTTGCTCTTGATTCTTTAGTGAGCGACCTCCTTCGATATTTGGGTTAGCTGCGTGCGTTTGCTGGTGAATATCCTCTGAATAGGGCTTTACATCAAAGGCGTGCTATATGATGACCGACCTCTATCTCCGACTCCCTGTGAGCTGATGCAGGGACGTAGCCACGGGGGGGGGGGGCACGGGTGCCATGCCCCCTGAAGGAGAAAAATAAGATAAAATTAAACAAAAAATTAAAATAAATAAAAACAGCTGTACCACACGCCCAAAAATAGTGGGCCAAATCCGAGGAGTTATCCTTTTGGGAACGGGTACGACACTAGGCCGCAACCTGTGGCCCCTACCTGTGCAAAATCCTGGCTACGTGCCTGGCGGCATCACGCCTTGAGCAGCACTGACGGCATCCAGGTTGGTGGTTACGTGCCGATTAGTGACTGATGTTAGTTCACGGTTTGTCCTCAGGCGATGAGTGGCGCGCCAACCGGCGCCGGCCGGCCTCCGACAACCACCTGCTGCCCAAGGTGCAGGCAGAGATGGTATTCTCCAACTCTGTACAGCAGCAGTACACACTGGTACCCAGGTCAGTCGGGACTATGGCCTTGGTCGGGACGTCGAGCCGAGCGGTGAAAAACGGCAATCTGGTTTGGGGGCAGTCCTCGGAGCAAAAGATGCGATTGATAATTGTTAGCAAATGCGAGTAGACCGGCTTCAGTTGGAAGCAAGACCAGAGCAAGGCTGTATGCTGTAGTTGAAGGTAAACAGTGTCGAAATCAATAAGTCATCGTTTTCATTCTATGACATACAGAAGCCATTGCATTTGAGTAGCCATCTAATTTTAGCGACAGCGGTTACATCCTCGGTCCGTCGTCACCTCACTCCATTCTATCGCCCTCCCCCTCCCCTCCCTTATCTCACAGACACAAGCTGGACATCACCATGAGCGCTTGCCGTCTGAACCTGTCTGACCGGCGCATCCGGCGGCTGGTGGACTTTGGCGAGCGTCTGCCGATGCCCCGGCCGCTGCAGTATAGGGACACGGTGGACGCGCTGCCCAGGAAGGAGGAGCACCTCTGCCTGCGCGAGTGTCAGGTGCGTGGGATAACGCGAGAGGGTATCTGCAGCAGGCTTATCGTCGGCTTTATTGATAATAGGGAGGCTTTTAGCGCAAATTATAAAAAGCTTTTAACCATTTTATGCGCATTAGTCACTCATTCGGATGCCATGGTTTTCTTGGCGGTGCATTGTTCACAGGTATTTCTGGACTGACCATTAATTTTTTTTTCTTCTGTCACCCCGTGCCTTATACCTGTGATATTGTCATTGAAGATGAAGGAATTAATCTCACATTCACTTCCACTGAATGTTACGTGATGCGTTTTTTATCATAGCCGGGTTGAGGATGCGCTTTAGAATAGTGATTGCCATTTACCAGGCTACTATTTTGACCTTTCTTTCTCGCCGCTTTTCGTATTTGTTGTCCCTGAAGCTTCTCTTCTCTTCTCAGATTCCTACGGTACGCTGCCAGAACCACAAAGCTTCAGCTCAAATGTATTTTTTTTTTTTGCAACGCATTTTGCCATTGACCACTCACATTTCGTCTCACAGGCCCGCTGCATGCCACCTTCGGTGTATGTCTAACATGTTATTGTACTCTGAACTTCTAAAGTCTAGAATATATGTATATTAACACTAGCGCGTTTGTCGGTGAAAGTCACCCCAGTGCGATTTGGTGGAGGCATAGCATTTGATTCAAAGCACTAGGGTCATGGTAAATGTAACGTTATTGTTATTGGCCCTCGCCTACGTGACAAAGAGTGTCATTTTCGAGTGGCATGCAATATTCCAATGAAAAAGCTCACATTGCTAATTGGTGTGGTGTTCGATCATCACTTCAGTGTCACTGGCCTGCATGGCCTTGGTCTGACTGTGAAAATGTGCATGAGTGAGGGACGAGAGTGGCCTCTGCGACGCCGACTGCCGGTCTGTACGTCTGTAACAGAACTCGGTGAAGGATCATTTTGTAGATGTGTGCTGTGATACATTGTCATTTGGCTAAAATGATTAAGGATAAGGGGTCGTTGATTATGAATACTTGATCTAAAATTTTTGAACTTGAGAGGAAAATCAGAGGTTTCAAAGTCGGAATGAATTTAGAACATAATTTCGTCAATGAAAGTGGACTTTTCCCACGCCTTGACCAACAACCTCTGAACGGTTTCTCCAAGGCCCTTTAACTACGTTTCTCAAGCACTTTTTATCCTCTCTCCGACATGTAACCTCTCCATGTGCTCTCCCCAGCTGGAGGCCGATACTGCGGAGCTGCGCCGCATTCGTCGCCAGCTGCGTCTGAAACTGCGGCGCCGGCCGGCCGGTGAGGACGGCGTCGATGGCGGTCCGTCGGCCTCGACACCGGTCTCCTCCACTGGGGCGGAGGTGCAGAGGTGAGGGGGACAGAGCTGATGCAGAGGTACGGTCGGAGGGATGTGACTCTTCCTTTTGGAAAGGGATGAAATGCTGGAGAAGCATGGCGCATGTTTTCTTTTTGTGATAAGGCAAAGTACGTGTGCGTTCATGAATTGTAATACCTACGAGCTATTCTACGACATATTGGCTTCAGCTCAGCCACATTGTAACAGGTACCTACCTATGCTTTGGATTTGCTGTTGTACGCCATTCGCTGGTTCTACCCCCGTCCTCCGCCTCCGATCCACAGAATCATGGAGCAGAGTGGCGACCTCGACTCTGAGGTCAGCGACCCGGGCCAGTGGGCCAGGGCCGTCGACCAGCCCGGCTTCCAGGACAACGTGTCGGCGCACAACGTGCTCAGTCTGATGCTGCGCGCTCAGATACCGGAGGTAGGTGCTGAGCGGTGCTGAGGGACTTTACAATGCATACCTTTAGTCGCATGAACGGCATTTGTTTTTGTTGTTTGTTGTCTTTTTTTTACCCGAGCTTTTATCGTATCAACTGGCACGTTGTGCCATTATTGGTAACCATTGAACATCCTATGATGGTGCCGAATACCTACCACATGCTTCATCTGGCTTCTCTGGATACATTTTCTCCATTATAGCACACCGGGTATGCACCTACATTTTCTTTTTTTCACACCGTCCCAATCATGCTTGCTCTTACTTTCGCCGTTGTCATACTTTTAGTTACCATCACCCGCCCCGTACCTCTCCGGCAGGTATCTATCCACCTGGACCGCTCGGGAGACGCGGCCGACCGACCCTACCTGCTCCTGGTAATCAGCTCACTGTCGGTGGAGCTGGCCCAGCTACGGTACGGTCCGGCCGCCCAGCTGACCCTCTCCGGCCTGCGGCTGGTCGACAAACTGCACTCGACCAATGGCGGGGAGTACCTGGAACTCATCAGCACCGCCCAGCAGCGACAGCTCGTCTCCGTGCTCTACAGGAAGGTAAGGCACGAATCGGTCCTCTATAGGAAACTGGACAGCGGTATCCGTCCGTGTGCTCAGTAGTATAGGTCTCATTTTGACCTCAACCTGAGTGTCCTTCAACTTCAACCTTCAACCAACCAGTGTTTGCTCAGCAGTATAGGGCTCTTCTCTGACTTCAACCTGAGTGTCCTTCAACTTCAACCTTCAACCAACCAGTGTTTGCTCAGTAGTATAGGGCTCTTCTCTGACTTCAACCTTTTCCAGTTCCGAAAAACAGTAAACCGGACCAGAAGAATTGACGCTTACCTGACTGAGGCGACGTTAAAAAACCTATGAATCAAACTAATAATCGTCTCCGAGTTGTCTTTTTTATGTTTCGAGTGTAACCTCGTTTTACGTTATTCTTACATCCAATGTGTCCTGTCAGGTGAGCCCCAGCTGTCCGGAGTTCAGCACCGTCTTCCACAGCGTCGAACAGAGCCTGGTGATGGACATCGGCACCATCAACGTGCTCTTCCACCGCGGCGCCGTCCTCACGCTCGTCAAGTTCCTCCAGTACGCCGGCGAGCGGTGAGTGGCGACAATGTCATGAGCGCAGGGAAGAGCGATGCCCTGGAAGCTAGTGTGATTTTTGACAATGCAACACAATCGTTTTTCGCTTAAATACTTTACATGAATAGAAAAAGCCGTTGATCTCGTATCAGTAACAAAAAAATCTGAAGGTGAGAGCCGATGGCCGACATAATGTTCAAGGGCATGGACTATCGATTTGAATTATAAAAAACGAATTTCAAGTGTCAATGATGTTTTGTGGTGTAAAATACGAACCACCGACAGGCAGCATCTCCCTCTCGACAGGCTGCCGTCGAAGGCCCTGTCTGTGGCGGTGCCGTCCGCCGCCGCCGCTGCTCCAGTCGCCGCCCCCGTGCCCGCCCTCACCCCGGCCCCCGCCGCCGACGGGCCGCCCACCCCCGCCGGCGCCACGCGGTTCAGCGGCTCACTCCGTCTGCAGGAGGTGGTGGCGCGACTCTGCGACACCGACTCGGACTTTGTCGAGATCAAGGTCAGTGAGTGCTTAGTTCGTAGGGTAAGGGCTTGTTGGAGGTGATTGTGTATGCTTGCGCTGTGATGTGGAATTTTAGACTGCATCACGAAGTTCTTCGTCATTTGAAAATGTTCATGAGTTCTAACGTAACTCATGCATCATATTCTGAAGCTTGCTCCTTTTTTCGACAGGTAACTGGAGCAGAAGTAGACGGCCAGCTGAAGGCCAACGATAAGATGATCCTGAAGGCTTCCCTGAACGAGTTCACCATGGAAGACACGTCAGAAACCACGCTCTACTCAAAGGTCAGGCTGGGACTGTTGGCCGTCTCAGCAGCCAGAGGCTTTCTCTCAAACCGGCGATGAGTGATTCAATTAAACCATCTCTGTCAAACACATCGTGCCAAGCTTATAGTCGGGGCACATTACATTTGCTTTTTATGAGGTCTGCAGGCTGCTGCTGCTAATCGAAAGCATAGATAACAGTAGAACTCTACTGTTATCTGT